ACATGAAACCCTGTCTCTCACCATGCACTACAATAAAATGAAAATGAATCAGAGATTGAAATAATAAAAGGGAAACAATCTGCTGGAAGTCAAATTAGGTGAAACTATGGCAGATATATGTGTAGACAATGAGTTTCAGTACAGAACACCAGTTGCCCGAAAAATAGTACCAAGAAACAGCAAATGGGATCAAGTCAATTTTAAAAGCTTCTGCACCAAAAAGGAAACAACCAGTAAACAGACAACCTACAGGATTGGAAGACCATTTTGCCATATACTCCTCCTCAGACAAATCACTAATATCTAGAATATATTAAGAACTAGAGAGGGGCTGAGGATTTAGCTCAGTGGTACAGCGCTTGCCTGGCAAGCACAAGGTCATGAGTTCAATTCCTGTTACTGGAAAAAAATACAAAAAAACAAAAAAAAAACAAGAAAAAAGAACCAGAGAAAAACTGGGCTCCCCAAATTAAGAACCATTCAAGAAATGGTCATCTAAATGAATGGATACTTCTCAGATGTAGTACAGTTGGTCAATACATTGCTGAAAAAATGTTCAGCATTGCTTGCCACACATGAAAGGCAAAATGAAACACCAAATTTCCAGCTCATTGCAGAAAGAATGACTATCTTCAAGACATCAAATAATAGCAAATGCTAGCACATCTGGGAGGGAAAAAGAACCCTTCTTCATTGTTGGTGGGAGAGTAAAGTGGTACCACCACTATGAAAATCAGTTAGTAGACTGTAGAAAACACTAGAATTTATATTCAATCCAGGTATTTCTCTACTAGTTATCTTCCTGAAATAAGTGAAGATATCATAGTACCCATATATATATATATATATATATATATATATATATATATAAAATAGCATAATTCACAATAACTAAATCTTGGAAGTAGCCCTTATTTCCATCAACAGAGCAGTGGTTAAGCAAAATGTAGGAGGTGTCCAAAATTGGGGACTACTGTGCCATGGAAAATGTAACCATAGGCAGATGGGTGCACCTTGAAACCAGTTTGTTCAGTGAAATTAATCAGACACACAATCTTAAATATCACCTGGCTTAAATGTAAATAAAGAGTACAGTAAAAAAGATAGTTACTACTAAATAGCCAGATTGACCTTTAGTATATGGGAAGGGAAGCAAGAGATAGAGGGAAAGGGATGGAGGGGGCGGAAATTGCATACAAAATGTTGAATTGTGAAGTGTGCACATGCAGAATGTCCCCATGAGGAATGTGATCAGTGTGTACTATGAATATGTGTAAATATACAGATGTACAAAATATATAAATAAATAAATATATAAGGATTGTGATCACTAGGTAATGAAATATATATATGTTATAAAATATACACAGCAATATATTCATATATACACATACATGCATACAAATACACATACAAACATATATATACTTGCATATACCTCCATATATACATATATACATGCATATGTTAGCATGAACTTTGCAACTAGGCTCTTGTCTCTGCTTTCATGTCCCAAGTAAGGGTATAGGATGCCTTCCTGAGAATTCAGCACCTCGAGGACAGGGCAGGCAACAGAGGGTTTTCTACATTCTTAAGAGAGACTTGCTCTGGAGTACGCCTTTCCAGTTTTGCCAGAGCTCGGTCCCACGCCTTGACCTAAGGAACTTCAGGTTCTCTGTTTCTTTCACCTGCAGGAAGGACCTGAGAACAAAGCTTTGACTCTGAGTGCAGTTCCCATTGCTGCCAAAGGTGGCGCTGTCCGGAGAACTTCGCAGCAGCATCTGTGGGGCGGTTTTTGGCCAGGACTTTCAGCGTGCAGAATCAGCTTGCTCCTGTCAAAAGGGATTAAACATGCACGGTTGAAACTCATAGGTGTGTACACAGAGAGTTCTGTGTGCTGTGTGGACAGGGTGTGAGGATTAATCCAGTTGTCCTGCAGCACCTCGTGCAGAAATGGCTCTAAGAGATGAGGAATGGGCCCGCTAGTATTTCAGGGGCACAGGACCGTCTCATGCCCCTTCCTAAGGACAAGTGATCTGTAATGTTCACATGGCTGAAAAAGCAAGCAAGAAAAGCAGTGGGAATGAGGACTTCAGTGTCCATGTAAATGGTTACACAGCAGGTGCTCACCCAAACACATCAAATGTGGTTTAAGATAAAACTCTCCTCTTTTCTGGGAGTTACTGAGCATGGAATATAGGCCTGAAAATTTTCCATCTTTTCAAACATCATCTACTGTGGGACAGGTACTTCTGATTTAGTATTGGTCTCATTCGCATGAAGAGGACCTGTTCTTCACTCTTTAGCACTTGTCTGTACTTCCCTGCCCAATGACCTCCAATCTCAGCAGGAAGAAAATTTTCTCCTGTCCTTGAATTCATGGCCATTCTGGGAAGCTTTGAGCTACTTTTGCAGTGCACATGACAGTCTTTGCATTAACATCAGCACTAGTGCCCCTGGGCATACTGAAAATCATGACTTCCCTATGTGCAGAAACACACCAGAAACTGGAGAAGGAAGGTGTTTTTATTTTTATTTTAATATAAATAAAGAAGCACTTGCTTCCTACCCATAGGTTGGAGGAGTTCAACCATAGCACATGATTTTCTTCCCTATGCTGTGATAAGCATGGACCTGCATCGCCTACAGCTTGTCAGGAGGCTGTGGGTTTTACCATCTGCATGAGCTCATGCACCCGCAAATGTATTATGTGGATATTTTCTGGTATCTCATTCCATTGAACTCCTGCAAAAATGAAAAATGCTCTCAAAAACTATCTTACTTGACTTGCCAAGACAAAGAATAGACTATACTGCATGTCAAACTACTTATCACCCATTTGGGAAAACTTGACGGTGTGCTATATTACTTCTCAGGTATATAACAAAGGTTCTCAGGGGCTGGGGATTTAGCTCAGCGGCAAAGTGCCTGCCTGGCAAGCGCAAGGTCGTGAGTTCGGTTCCCGGTACCGGAGAAAAACAAAAAAAAAAAAAGATTCTCAACATCATGGTCCAAAGTTAACTTTTATGTCATAAAAAGCTGTTCATATTAGAGGGTTTCCAGGATTAGCAAAGGGACTGGCAGGGCCTTCTACATGACATGGGATGGGACAAGAGATTGTGGCCACTCCACTGGGCATAGGGCACACCCATCTCCTGCTCAGTTTTACATTCTGAATTCAAGCCATGTTTCAGTGCCTTGGACACAGGGTCTTTCTGTGCCTTGGGAGGCAGAGACATATTTATATCTCCAGAATAGAAATAAATTCAAAAACAGAACTGTGTTCTGTTGGGAACAATAAAGACTGAGTAGGTTCTATCACCTCACACTGAGAGTGTCACGCTGGTCATATCATTCGCTACACAGGGATCCTGAGAATTTCCCAAGTGCAGTAGGCCTCAAGTCCTTCATTAATAAAATGGGTTCGTATTCCTGGCAGAATATCTGACATACTATGTGCTGAATAATTGCTGATGAGTAGTAGCTGGTTCATGGTATTACCTTAACCTCTGATTCTATCACTGTTTTTCTGGAAAAATAGTTTTTTGGTTTTTTTTTTTTGTTTTGTTTTGTTTTTTTTTTTTTTTCCGGGAAAGCTATAGCTCACAAGAAAACTGAGTAAAAATTCAGACAAAAATGCTACTCAGTAATCATGCCCCCAAAGGATGCATTGCATGATTAGATGTTGGGGAGTCTGTCCATGCTGGGACCAACTAATTCACAGCTCCTAGAATATGAGTAAAATTCATATTCCCTCCCCTTGACAACTTCTCTTCCATGGGAATAAATGATTTCAATCTTTTCACCTTAACCAAACATCTAGCCTTGGGGATCACAAGGCTGCTATGACAATGTGGACTGGCCATTCCACTGACAAGTGCAGCTCAGTACAGATGCAGGAATAATTTCAAATTTCTAGGAAATTCCAATTCAAAGAAATTTCAAGGAAAATTATATATTGTGACATTACTAGCATAAACCTCCTTCACGAAGGAAATGACTGAAAGCTCTCCCAGATTCACTCCTGGAGTAAGATGGGGAAGAAACTTATGAACATAGAGAATTTCTCTGCAGGGAGAAATACGTGGTCAGCCAGTCGTTTGATCACTTGTTAGCACATCAACACCACTTGCCAGATCCTTATGTCCATCTTGTATGAGTGTTTTAGGCAAAATGCACTCAGGAGAAGGTGTCCCCAGAAAAGCAGTCAACTGGACACTGCAAGACCTTGGAAAATGGACATTCCCAACAGAGAAAACACCTGATCAAGGGATTTATGGCCTAAGTTTACCTGAGAGTCACCCTTATCTCTCAGGTAATCTGTCAAGATGTGGGGCATAAGTCTCCCGGTTCTTTACCTGCATAGGACCACTCTTCTCATCTTTGTTCCAGATGAGGATTTCTCTTGTCATCATGCACTGTCTAAAATGTATTAACAAGGGGCTGGGGATTTAGCTCAGGGGCAAAAGCGCCTGCCTGGCAAGCGCAAGGTCGTGAGTTCAGTTCCCGGTACCGGAGAAAAACCAAAATAAATAAATAAATAAAATGTACTAAGAGCAGTCTTCCATCCTCTCAGGCTTTTATCTCAGCCCTAAGAGCCCACCTGACGGTCTTTCCCTGGCCAGCATGGAGCTACATTAAAATCAACTACTGCAGAATCAACTGCAGTTACCCAAACCCAACCTGTCTTAGCTCTGTGCTCAACCATGGCTGCTCTCTGCTACATTCCACCCCCTCAGGGCTCTGCTACCTTCCTTTAAGTTCCTTGAGGACATCTCTCTGTCTCCATACACTGGGGGGACTCCAAGACTCTGTCATCCTATGGGGTTGCTTTGATCCTGCTCAGCCTAGTGTGCTCATATCCACACCGAAGACACAGGGCCTCATCAAGGGCACAAGTGCAATAAAGAATTGTGTTCCACAGGCCTGTGAGGAGGGGGTCTTACTTAAGGACAGTAAATTTCCCCAGGATAATTGAAGAAACCAAGCAAATTCAGGTGTACATATATTTTTAATAGTATAGAACAATAGGGCAAAAGAAAAAGAATCCAAGAAATGATTTTATCCTTATGTCTATTTCTAGGCGTCATTTAACTGTATGCAAACTTACACATTTCCAAGGAAATCACTATTCCAATCTTATATTATCAGAAATAAAATGTAAGGCTTCCTTCACAAAAAACATTGTGAACAATATCACAAAATCGTATTCGCATCAGAAATCACAATTAAACATGAATAAAAAACAAAAAATATGAGATCAGCATCATTCTTCAAGTAAGATTTGCAAGCTACTTAAATCTCTCAAAAAACAAAAAAGGACTTCAAAAATCATGAAGAACTCACATATTAATTAAATAGTAACCCAAGTAGAAAAATAACAAGATACTATGCACCATATTCACTTTCTCCCTTGTTCCTTCACTGCTTAGAAAACTGCCTGGTATCCAGAAACGTTAACTGATATTGGGTGTCATTTAACAAAGGGTGAAATCTAATCAGTGACGTGGTTGTGGAACATTCCCTGCCCCTGTCACTCATCCTGGCCCTCAGGGGCGCTGAAAATATCTTTATCATTTCTGAAAGCCTGCTCATATAAATGTGGGTAAGACCTGGGATCTGTCCTATCACAGTCGAATATATGCTGTAGCATTTTCACCTGGGTGGTTTCAGCATGGGCCCTTGGACCCCACATAAGCTCATAGTGAGCAGGATCACTGTTAGGAATCTGCTGGTACACCAGGTACTCTTCCTGTACCAAATCCTCTGTAAGAAATTTCCAGAGATCCCCAATAACCTTCTTTCTCTCACGTAATACCTGGCTATTTCTCAGTAGTTCCCTTAGGTCCTCCTCACTGAGCCTGCTGCCCTTTGCAGTGATTATACTCAGGATAAATATCAGGAGCTCTGCTTTAGGAATGGCCTGGAGCTCATTATCTAGAAGGCCACTAAAAGTGAGGCCCAAGATGGGCACAAGCTCATATGTGCGCCCAAGGGCATCTACTTCCCTCATCTCAATGCCAAAGCTCAGACATATGCACTCACAGAGCTCCCTAAAGAGCAGAGGGCAGTGGGCCTGGTAATCATACTCCACAGTGTGCACCATTTCTTCCACAGTGACCTGCTCCTTCTTTTGATGCTTCCGGAGCAGGAATGGCAGCAATTTATCTAACTTGTCATATAGGAGCTCATACTGTGTGATCTGAGAGGCTTCCTCACCCTGGGAGGAACTCGCACCCTCCTCTCCTTGCCCACTGGAGCCCTCACAGCATTGGCTCCTAGGAGTAGAACCCAAGGCAGTGAGGGGAGAAAGGTTGCCCTGAATATTTTGAGGAAATCCTGGTGTCCCAGACCCAGGCTCTTCTCTTGTTGTGGCCCCCACTGAAGCATAGGAGGAAGCATTCGCTGCTGCTTCCTTCTCCTCATCCTTGAGGACCTGCACATCCATCAGGGCCCGTGTACGGCTTTGAGCAGGACGGCCGCTCCCGAGCTTTCTTTCTGGGCTCCCACGACCATGAGGCATCATGATGTTCCCTGAGGACAGCAAGAGCTTGATGTTGAAGACTCAGATGCCTGGAGGAGAGAGAGAGGTTATTAGTGTTTTCAGCTGAGCACACACACTTCTTGCCTCCCCCAAATGCTCAGCATAGGTCTTCTTTTGGGTGGTGTTCTAGGGTTTCAGAGGCTCCTGTCATCTTAAGGCCCTGTCCCTTGATGCTTGTGCATGAAGTGAGGCTGCTTCTCAGGCTGCAGTTGAACTGCAGAGGACAAGGCACTAGGGAAGAGGGTAAGGCATATGCAGCCTGGGGACTGTGATGTGTTCTGCTCTGGGACAGGTGGAACCCTAGGAACCCGTCAGGGCATGCACCTCACCTTGACTCCTGATGCCGCCTGGGTCTCTGCTGTGTGAGCTGTGGACACTGCTTCACAACAAGACTTTTCCGCCTGCTTCCTGGAGCTCCTGTAAGAGACATAGGGACTCTCACTCTGCAGACCTCAAGTACACTCCTGATCCACCAGACCTCACATGAGGCATGGACTTGACTTTTGAGTTCCCACTCTTCTGGTGGATGGTCACCTCTCTGTTCACTCAGGACTAACAACTGTCCTTAAGCAGGGCCTGGTTTTCAGTCCTCTGCTTGCCTGAGGCAAACTCTTAGAAAAAGATTCTTCCATAGGGGCTGGGGGTTTAGCTCAGCGGCACAGCGGCTGCCTGGCAAGCGCAAGGTCATGAGTTTGATTCCCGGCACCAGAAAAAAAAAAAAAAAAAAAAGTCTGCCCTGAGAGAGAACAAAAGTCTGTGAGGGGATACACATCTGGACACAGCTGCCGGGAGGCAACAGGTGGAGGTGGGCAAATCCCGAGCACTCCATGTGCCCCAGGAAAGGGAAGCTGCCCCATCCTCATTTGACGGTTAAGTCTAGGACTCCCCCCAGAGGTCAGACACCACCTTCCTGAAATCACAGGCCTATCTCTCTGAGACTTTCCAAGAGGGCGAGAGGGTAGGCCACTCCCTCTGTTTCCTGGGTCTGAGGACAGGGAACAAAGACAGAGGTGGAGGCTTTCCTGCTGCAAATCCTTCCTTAGTGTCCTCACGTTGACTCTCGGTGATCCTGGGACACCTGTAAGTCCCTGACCAGCTGGGGTTCCCTGATGACAACCTGCACACAGTCTGAGAGCTAGATTGTCACCTCCATGAGATCCTGAGCAATCTCAGGTAAGTGAGCAGACGGCCATGCTGTCACCCTACGTGGGACTATCAATGCCGACAGTAAAACCTGTGCACATCCCACTGGGATCCTGGTTATGGTCTAGATCTCCTCTGAAAGACACAGGGCATGTAGGGAGAACCTTTGCAAGGTGTCTGGAGTATGGGGCTTACCGCTCCCTTGTTTTCAGGTGATGGCCACTGTGAAGAAGAGAAAGGTCACTGGGTATGACAGGGACTTTCTATGCTGTGACCTGGCTCTTCCTTCGAACTTCTGCTTCCTGGAGGACTTGTGCTGAGCAGGTTTCCTCCAGCCAGGCCCTTCCACTCTGCTATGCAGCCTTGTAGCTGGCTGACTGGCAAAAGCCCTATAAATCATGAGCCCAAGGAAAATTTTTTCCCCAATAAACTGCAGATGTCAAGTATTGTGTCTCAGCAATGAGAACATAAGTAAGGCATCCTATGTGCTTCTGAAGCTTCTTAATTATCCTCGTGTTGCTGCCTGCCCTCCTTCAACCCATCCCACCCGACATGAGCTGGCCTCTCTCTTACAGAGCACAACCTCATCTCTCTGATGCCTCCCTTCCTACCTGTGGCAGAAGTTTTCATGCCACTGGGTCCACCCACAGCTGACCCTGGGAACAGGCACACTCTGTGGGGTCTGGGGTTTCTGGACAGAAGACCCCCATCATCCTCAGGAATTCTGAGCTTGGACTAGCTAGCTCTTGGGGTCCCACTTCTGCTGAGTATATGAAGCTCCTTCTGCTGACCTGCATCACATCTTGGACTAAGATTGTCACCTTCCTGAGTCCTCCTATTCCCAACTGTTAGCATAAATGACAGCAATTTACATAAAGCTGCTCTCATTGGAATACCGGAGTGAGAACAGGGGAATCAGGCTTTGTACAGGACCTTCTGTATAGGAAAGTGGGTTACCTTCAGGTGTTCTGCGCTGGAAAATGAAGGAGTCGTGAGCAGCAGCAATTCAGCCTCCCAGAGATTCAGAATACAGACTCTGAAAAAGAACAACCTGAGTCAGGAAAATAAAACAAATTGAGAAAAAGTGCCAGGGAATCAGGAATGAATGGAGAAGAAAATTAAAAAGAGGGGTTGGGGATTTAGCTCAGCTGCACAGCGCCTGCCTGGCAAGCGCAAGGTCATGAGTTCGATTCCCGGTACTGGAAAAAAAAAACAAAAAAACCAAAAAGGAAAAAAAGGAAAAAAAAAAGGAAAATTAAAAAGAACAGTTAGATTGAATAGAAAGACAGGCACCAGAGGTAGGGCAGGTAACAGCCTTCTCTGCAAGGTTGGGACAACCTTGCTCTGCAGTGCTCCTCCTGCAATTTCCCTAGAGTCACAAAATTTGATCTGAGCTCTGGCCCTCACTGTTCCTCACACCTGAAACAAAATTTGAAAACAGAACTCTGAGATACCTCACCGGCACAAGCGCTTGCCTGGCAAGCCCGCAGTCCTGAATTCCACAGCTAGTACCAAGAACACCCAAAAACCAAAAGAAACAAAAACTCTTTGACTCTGTGTGCAGTTCCCATTGCGGCCAAAGGTGGCGCTGTGCTGAGAACTGTGCACCACGCGGTGCCGGCAAGAACATGGAGGCTTCTCTAGAATGTTCTCGGACCTTCTTCCTCCCTTGGGCCTTTGGCCTTCTCTCGACCGGCACTATGACCTCCCAGATCCCAGGTCCCGTGCACTCTTCCACAATAAAGCACAAATCTCAGAACTCAGCTCTTACACTGCACACTAAATCACCAAAGCAACAATGGTCTCCACTGAGAATTTTTTTCTCGGCATGGAAGGCTTGTAACTGAGGCAGATCTGGACTTTTAGCAGACCCTCTGTCAGAGGTGAGCTTCCTTATTCCCCCAAGTGCCTGTCACGTTGAGCCCTAACCGAGCCCACCCACACAATTCTCCTCACCTGAAGCCAGCGCCTCAGAACGGGACCTCCGTACCTCTGACCCGAAGCTGGTACTGCCGACTAGACTTCGCTCGCGGAAATGTGCCCGGGCTTTCCCAGGGTTCACAGCGGGAGCGGAACGGAATTTTGAAGGTCCCCTCAGTCTTGGTTGGGGGTTCAGCCTTTTGGTTCCTGGCAGAGCCGGAAACACTTTCCTCTACGGACTTGATCCCATTCTCTTGAGACTATGTATCTACTTTCCAGGGTACATGGAGCTTGAAACTCATTGTAACAATTGAGCCCCTGTGTGCTCCAGGGCTCACAACAGGTGTAGATCTGGGTAGTTTGCTGACCCTCCCTCTGCAGCAGAGTTTCCTCAGTCCCTTGTCTCTGCTCACCTTGAACCCTAAGTCTACCCTGATCCTCTTGGCTCCCCTCCCCTGAACCAAGGAACTCAGATAAAGTTCCTTACTTAGCTCTGATAGGACTACAATGCAGTCAGTAGAATTTACATCTGGGAACTTGTCAGCAGGTGAGGAAATGATTCTCTAGGTCCCTTTCATCCTCTTAGGGGTCGTCTCCTTGGTTCTTGGATCCCCTTGGATATGTACCTCAATTTTTACATCCCAGACCATGGAACTATGCCCAGAGTCCCATGAGGCTGAAGGGAGACTCCTCCTTGATTATCGATTAACAAATGCTACATGCATTGTTTATTCTTGTACTTGCTATACTGTTTCTAGTGCACTCTTTCTTTTGTCAAAATAGTTCTTGTTTGGAAAGCCAGGCCTCACCTACCAGGGTGGTTTCAGGTTGTTATTAGCTTGGTCTACAAATCCGTAATATCTCCAATTTCTTGCTCTTCCAATGCTACCCTGGGCTATTAACATCTCTGGTGTGAAGTGTAGCTTCAAACAACACTATTCTAGAGGCAGGAATTTTAAACCTTTCCTCTAACTCACACTGTGATGGCTCACTTATTCGGGGCTCAGTTTCCATCCCTTCCCCTGCCCTCCAAAAACACAGCTAGAAGATCAACAGTCTGCAGTCCTGCCCAGGATTATGCTTTGGTGCTTAAATTTGGTTGATTATATGTATTTTGCTAGGGTTTTCTTTCTGTCTTTGTTTTTTGTTGTTGTTGTTTGCTTGGTTGTTTTTTTTTGTTTGTTTGTTTGTTTTGTTTTGTTTTGTTTTGTTTTGTTTTTTCCAGTACCAGGAATCAAACTCATGACCTTGTGCTTGCCAGGCAGGTGCTGTGCCGCTGAGCTAAATCCCCAGCACCTTCTTTCTGTATTTGTATCACTCTGTCTCTCTGTCCCTCTGTCTTCTCTCTCTGTCTGCCTCTCTTTTGTTACTCTCTGTCTTATCTCTTTTTCTGTTTTTCTTCCATGGTGTGGCTATGTAATTTTGGGATGCAGAGGATACTAGCTCACATTGGTTTGTCATTTTTTCTGCTATAAGCAATTTAAGGAAATCAAAACTTTTAAGTTATTCTGTTCCTCATCACTGAATGTCATATACTGCTCTATTTATATCAAAGTCCTTTTCAATGAAAATGTTGGTCAGATTTTGCAGTTATCTCTATGAAGACTTTAGACATTTTGGTAGCTTGTTTATAGCTACCAAAGCTACTTATAGGCTTAATCTATTTATAGGATTTGTCTCTACTAATCTAAAATTTTAAAGTTAAAAATTTGAAATATCAACATCATTACGATATGTGGCATAAGCCAGGCACATAATATAAAGTACAACAGGTGCTTTCTCCTATGGAGAAGCTTAAGAGACAGTCAAGCTGAACATACAATAGGGTTTACCAGAGATGGGGAAGGGAATGCCGGGAAATTGGACAAAACAGGACTAGAGTGATAAGTGCGCACTGTCTCCGTGCTGTGATGTATCACACCAAACTCCATTAGTACGTATAATTTCCACATGTTGAGGACAACTAAAGTAAAAATTGTTAGGAATAATAAGTTCTGTGTGAGTTTCCAACCTCCTATCCTGCCCTGTAGGCTTCAAATGTGTCAGACGTCACAATCACATGATCTAAGTCTATGAAACATCTGTCTTATAGTGAGTCTTTCTTTCTGGAAAGAAATATTTTTATGGTTTAAATTTAAAAGATGCAGGGCTGGGGATTTAGCTCAGCGGCAAAGCACCTGCCTGGCAAGCGCAAGGTCGTGAGTTCGGTTCCCGGTACCGGAGAAAAACCAAAAAAAAAAATAAAATAAATAAAAAAAATAAATTTAAAAGATGCCCAAATGTCTCCCAATTGGGGGTGGGGATGTTCAGAAGAAGGAGGTCACTGGGGTACAAATGGAGATTGAATTCTCATGCCAGCTCTACTGAGGATATAGCCACTGAGGTTTCCACTGCACTCCCTTGTCTCTGCTTCTTAGCTGTCATGGCATGACCAATTTTCCTCTGCCATACCATCATGCCAGGCCTTTTTTGTCTCAGAGAAAGCATCCGCTGAGCTTGTGAGTCAAAATAACCTGACACTCCATTAAGTAGCACAGGTCTGGTGTCGTATCCTCCTAATAGAGAAGTGACCAATAGAGAAATTCCTATCAAAAACAGGACCATTGCTATTACTGAACTTGCCTGTGTAGTCCAGAATATTTGCAAGTGGTTTGCAGGAGAGATTGGCATGTTTGGAGATCCAGGCTGGAGAAGGCCTAGAATGTTGTGAGCAGTGCTTGATGTGCAAACTTGGTCAGAGCTCAAAAGAGCAGAACGCTGATGAGAGTGGGCACAGTTAGGGTCAGGCTCACCTCCTTGTAGCTGGGAAGCAGGGACAGGGAAGCAGGGAGAGGAAGGAAGGGAGCAGCATCCCACAATGCTCTTCAGGGGCGCTCCTCCAATTGTGGGAGTGAGCACTGAAAATATATGTACGAAGTGCCTTGCATCTAAGCTGTAGATGTGGCCTGTCCTAAAGTGTCAGCTACAGACTCTGAAGATGTAGCATGGTGTGATTTGGAGGGATGCTGTGGCCTTGAGGTGCAGGATGTGAGAGCGTTTTCTGTACTAGTCCCATTGTAATCAGCTCAATAGAACATGCACTTTTTTTAATCTATCTTTAGGACCCCTCAAGGGATACCTTTGTTCTCACTGAGTATACAAGACAGAACACTCCTAAAATAAACAGTGGTTATCAGACTTCCCCTCCTGTGTCACAAATCTTTTTTCATCAGAGATCAACCCCAGTACTGATTGGAAAACTACAGCAATGGCCTAAGATGTCCAAGTAGGTCCCGTCTCTGAAGTTTCCATGCCTCTCAATGGTCCCACAACTTGTGCACCAAGCCTTTAACCCCTGAGCCCTTGGGAGACACTTATGCAAACCACAGTGGATGAGTTGGTGGAGTCAGGGTGCGAGCTGCAAACAGATTCTTGTTATGACCTTCTTCAGTCATGAGGGGAGAAGAAAGACTTTGGTGGCAGAAATTCTCCCAGGATGAAGAGATTGGCTCAAGGAAAAAATGATGTCTTTTATATGTAAGAGGAAAGGGGTTGGAGGTCAGAATACATGTGAAAGGATGGACAGTGGTAACACACTGGAATATTTTTCAAGGATCCAGACTGAAAAATATTGGAATATTGAGATAATCAGAATTAAGGTAAGAGGTATACAGATTAGCCTATGGGAACAGACATAAACTGTGAAGAATTTTGTGCTGTTCTAATGTTCACAGATGCACCTGTGCCAAAATGCACCAAGAATTCAGGGCAGAATGAGCTCCCTGACTGACATCTGTCAACCCCTGACACTGACAGCAGCAGTGCTACACAACAGTCTGATGTGTGGAGCAGCCATGGTGGAAGGAATGCATGCTCTGCATGAGGTCACCAGCATGGGATTCCAGTCATCAAGGCTTACCAAGCCACTGCTGCTGCCAGATGTTTAACTTGCCAGGGACAAGAATCAGTGCTGAATCCACAATGTGAAACCATTTTTCACAATTCCAGGCTTATGTGCATGATCTTATCATCCACGGGGCGGGGGGCAGATTCTTTACTGGAAATTGTACATATGGGCTTGACTACCTTCCTTGTAGTGCTTTGTCTGTCAACACAAACAGAATCTCTCAAGGTAGCTGGATTCATGAATTCAGGATATTTCTTATGGTCATCTGAATCTCAATATGACATAGAGAAAGGCAGGTTCTCATTGGGCTCAGGATAGGAGATGGAAGGGGGCTGTCTCATACTGGAGCACCATGGGGCTGCTGGTCCTCTGGAACGATGGAATATGTACTTCAAAGTGCAAGTGAGTTGCAGATCAGAAAGTGACAACCTGTAAAGATTGGCTGTCATCTTCCTCAGTAAAACACACTCTAGATGCATTATACTTCCCTGCCAGCAATATGTGGAACACGGGATCCTTTAACTGAATCATGGAGTGACCGAGTGACCGGAATTCTTATCACTGACCATATCTTCCATAGACATTTGTATTTCTTGCAGCACAAATTTACATTCTGAACTTCTGCACTTGTTTTTTCCAAGAAGGTTTACCTTTTTGTAGTTTAAAAAATTGAAAATTGAATTGAAATTGTAGCTCCTCAGTAACACTAGTGAGGTCTCAGTGTTAAATAGCCAAATGTGGTGGCTGGAACCCATATTGGACACTGATGGCTAAGTGTATTCATTTTTCAGCCAGCAAACTTCCACTAAGAGAAATAATGTGCATCCTACTGAGCCTTGTTTTACCCACGACCTTGGCATCTATTTTTCCGTGCTTGGGTGGATCACTCAAACTCTGGATCTTGTACCCGCTAGACCAATGATGTAGGAATGAAGTACCCTCCCCACCCCTCACATGTGGGCCTTGTGATCCTTCTGGTCTGGTATCAACATGCACAGGACATGTGTCACAAGTCTGTCATGGGGAAGAAACCCTGTTCATCAGAAGGCAGGGATGCGCTTGCATAACAGGAAAACAGAGGTGTCAAGGTGATCTCCTGGAGTATGTCTTCTGTATTCTTGCCTGAATTCTTTGACAACTGGGCAAGGTCACACTTCATAGCCTGGAAAAGGCTCAGAATTCTTAAGAAGGCCTGTTTTCCCCCACCACGTGAGTTGTATCCGGCAA